TGCTCCTGATGAGGTTGCTCTTGATCATTTTTTTCTAAAGTCAGCTGAACTTGGTTGTGTCTGCCGTGTCGTGGTTGCCTACTTGAAGACTGCGCTGATCTGAATCAGCCGAGGTTACCGGCTGCTGCTCCTCGCCTGCCTGCCTCGAGGTTGATTCTGCCGCCGGTTCTGATGTTGCGGGAACGACGTCAGCCGTACGTACATTTTGCCGCAGTGTTTTATGGCGCTGTCGAAATTTGCTTGCAATCGCTGCTACTGGGCTGAGGCTCATTCTTGGTGTCTGGCCGTGTGCGCTGATGCGCTCATTGGTTGCCATCACCCCGTCGGGGCCTCGGCTTCTGGTTGTGGCGGTGCTGGGAATTCTGCGGTTCATACGTCTCTCCATCTGTCCTCTTTTTCCTCCCTCTTCACAGCAATGCGAGCAGCTTGCTCCTCACTGATTTGGTACTTCAATTTTTCTGTTGCGGCTTCGATCGGCAGTCGATTTCATCGTTTTTTGCGGGTGCTGCATCAGCAATTGGTCGGTCTTCGAGTGCTCTTGGTCGCCCTTCCCGTGCGTTATTTTTTGTTTCGGTGGGGATTGCTGCATGATCACACAGCTGAGACAGATTTTTGAATTAATGCTTGAAATGCAAAAATCTTTTACCCGGAGGGAGACAGGTTTAAAACAAGATTGCGTTTTATTTCTTCTCATGGTGTTCGAAAATTTGGAAGGGAATGTGTGGTGTGCTCTTTGCAGAAAAGCTTAGAAAGGCCGCCAAAAGGATTTTCAAGATGCCCGGTGCCCGAAATTGATGAATACTTTGAACTTGTTGCAAAATATGGCAAGCCACTGTTCAAGTGGGACATTATACGGCCTGCATTCCTCTGGAAACTCGAGGTAATTTGTCATCCTCAACACTAAGCAGTGCTAGCAGCTCCTGCTCAAGAGCTTCGAAATCCCATTGCCCTACAGCTCGCTAATTGTTGAAGTGGTGGCATATTTAACATGTCAAAAATAAGACTTTAGTTTGTTCCACGAACCTTGGCTGAAATGCTTGCTGTTACTAGACCATGTGCATGTTCCTCCCCGAGGCGCTTTCGTTTATGCTTCAAATTACGGGACTCGTATGTCGAAAACCTCGGTAGCACATGCAGTGCATTTCTAGGCACTTCTAGAGCAAAATGCAAATTTGTAGAGCGGATATAAATACCGGTGGTCTGGAACGGGAAACACCATAATTGATACGGTCATGGATTAATCTATGAGTAAAAGCATCGCATTTCCTGAATTTATTATGGTTGGTAAAAGTAGTTCGGTGGAAAATTGTCAACTTGTCGAAAAAAAACAGAATTGCTTATTATTGCTCTTGCCTTCGGTTCCGTTGAACTGCTTTTTCACTATCTGCTTTTCTGCTTTCACTTTGCTTCTTTTGAGCAAACAATATCAGAGATGTTCCATGTGGAACGAGAAATGATGGGTCCAGAGGAAAACGCGGAACCAAACATAAATGGTGATGAAATGCGGCTTCAGCGAGAGTTCATTTTGCAGAAAGCTGCCGAATTCGATGGGGCTCCGTTTACTTTCCAGAGGTTCTTACATTTTATATGTTTTACAGTATATCGGCATTAAAACCACTCCAGCATACCGCAAAAGGTTATTGCCACACACTTGTTACCATAAATACCAGAACAGCGCATGCAGTCGGTGAGATACTGGGATGCTACCACACGCCGAATGCCGTACCAGTGTAACTCATTCAGATTTTACTTTTGCAGTCACAGTGACATTCTCTACGTCCCCCGTTTCACAGTGATTTTCTTCGCTCCATTGCTCACCGCTTCTGTATGCCATTCAGCTCTGTGTTACCGAAGTGTTGGGTACGATCCGTCTTTTTTAATATTTGGAGAATATCGTTGTGAAGTTTACGCTGACCGGCAGCTTATAACGTGCCTTTTCTAGCTGAGAACTTTCTTCACGTTTAGTAGTTTTTGTGGCTCCTTTCTTCCTGATAGTTACTGTCATATTTATCTTATACAGGTTATGTGAGCTGCTGCTGACCCCTCTTCGCCACTATAAACGAACAGACAAGTATCTGCGAGCGTTGGAGAAAACTATCAATGTGGTCACCACAATCACTGAGAACGGGGAGCGAATAACGGGTGTTGAGCTCTTTCCTGTGGAAGAAAACAACAGTCCAACGCATGGCATCGAGCAGCCCTTCTTTGTGCAGGTATATTGCTCAGTG